GAATGGGCATGATATGGTAGTGAAGTTACTATTGGGTCGGGAAGATGTCAATCCCGACAGGCCAGACAATGATAGCCAAACACCCCTCCTGTTCGCTGCCGGAGGTGGGCATGATGGAGCGGTGAAGCTGCTGTTGGGACGGGGAGACGTCAGCCCCGATAGGCCGACCAAATTTGGAAGCACGCCGCTCTCGTGGGCTGCCCGGAATGGGCGCGATGGCGTAGTAAAGCTATTATTGGGACGGGAAGGCGTCAACCCCGATAGGCCAAACAATCGTGGCCGAACACCGCTCTCGTTTGCTGCCGGGAATGGGCGTGGTGGCGTAGTGAAGCTGCTGGTGGGACGAGAAGACGTCAGCCCTAATAGACCGGACAATTGTGGAAGAACACCTCTCTCCTTTGCTGCCGGGAATGGGCGTGATGGCGTAGTGAAGCTACTGCTAGAACGAGAAGGCATCAACCCCAACATTCCAGACAAGGACAGTAAAACGCCACTTTTCTGGGCTACTGAGAATCGCCATTCGGGGGTTGTTAAGCTACTACAAACCCGCGCGCCCACGAGTCCCACTGTGGCTTGACCCAATAGACTTAGGTGCCTACTAGCTACTTTATCCTCCCCCAAATCACTCCCGTGTCCCTTCCGGGACTATCAACAATCTTGCGGGCATCGCTGCCTCTCCCTCCCCCACCCATTCTCGTCCGACCTATCTCCCGCGGTTAGTGTCCAGAGCCCAATTAGACGTACCTGCCCGTGCACTCACCAGTGCCTGCTAGAGGTTGAGTCCGGCTTCATGATTTCATCCGAGCCCCCTGGGCGTACCGGTGATGGTGACGCCGTACCGTTCTGTAACTGTAATGGGAATTCTCAGTCTATACTACACAGCCTTTACCTCACTTCTTCTGTGTAACAATACCGCATTCATTTTTAGATTGGTCATTGGTCACCATTTGTATATCAAGAAAAACTTCTCACCATTTTTCAATATTTCTAGGCTACTCTCCCTCGTACGTGATACACATCTCGTAGCCCATGATACCTTCACAGCCCCTTGCCTTACCCTCGAATACCGGAGAACGAACAGTTCAGCCATAACTTCGTGATCCCCACCGAGACCGGATATGTGGAGCCCAAGCTGTCGTAGTTGCACATCTTACGATCCCCTATGTTCGTTCCCAAACCAGGGCAATCCAGACACGAAAACACCGCCTTTATTCCATCTTCCCTTAACCAACCGCTGTGATATAGGTTCTCCCTTACTACCCTTACATTCTCCGATCCTCCGCACCCCCCGCCCTGAGTCAAAATCAAATATAGCTATTACAACCAAATTCTCCGCGCACCCATCGATTCATCACCACAGCTGCAGAAGATTGGGCCATCGCAACTGAGCACACCCCTGCTAATCGGCAGAGCCGGAAGGGAGACTACCAGCAATCACAACTGCATCCGCCCCTGCCGGCAATAATGATGCTTGGAGGTGCTCAGGGGTGAACATGCACTGATACGGTGGAATGCACCGTAGTGTGTGGAGAGTGTAGAGGCGGTGGTAGAACATGCTCGGGTATGACGGCGTTATCGATAGAAGGTACCGGAGGGGAGCTTTGACTTCATATTTCTCTTCTTGCACCCATCGGGGGGTATCTGGTCTCCTTATGCTTTGATATAGATGCTTAACGTAGCTTACTTGCAGTTCCACCCCCACACCTAGACGCCGGGATTCTCAGGCGTGAGGACCAGCACCAGAGCCGATGATGGCCACTTCAGAAGCGTTGAGAACCTTTATGCTTTCCGCTGCCCCCAGCTGGCCCACGGACGGCATGATTGAAAAGGCAGAACCGTAGTTTAGCGGTGTCATAGTTGAACCACTTGTGAATCAGGTTTCGTTAATAGACCGGGGTGAACCGGATACGGAAGCAGAGCTCAAGGCATATAAGGTACGAGCTTGTGGTGATTAACTACTAAAATTTAGACCTGGGTTCTTACTTTCCTTCCATGCTCTCCAGCCCTCTGCATCCACCCGTATCGATCCGACAATAGGGTGCTATCCGCCAGTCCATCGTTTCCGCTATAAAAGAGCGGACTTCCAACACCAAACCAAATACATCCCACGGCACGGGCAGAATCGGGGCGGGATTGTGTAAGGTGACGCCTGAGGCGCGATTAGCCAACCGGGGTTGCACCGGCTATCCCGGATCGCGCAGTGCTGTACCGTGTCGTACAAAGCCCTCCACATCTCCGAATTTTCACAAAATCTCACCCGTTGAACTGGAAATGTGGGCTGTTGGAAATAGCAGTAGATGGCCGCACTTGATGCGGGATGTGCTCATACATGACGGCGTCAGTAGCATATGTCTGTACCCCTGTAAGACGCGTATGCCATGCAAACTTTCTCATCCCTGTCTTTTCTTCCCTTTTGTCTTTTCTTGCGAGTGAACATCTTCCTGTACTTTACCTCTCACCTCAAGTTCTTCATCTCAGTCATCTTTAAGCAATCAATCATGGTCTTTCTCTTCACCTGAGAGAAACCTCCTATCTCCACTTGCGTGATTCTACTCCGCTGCGTAAACCCTCACTACCGATCATTACCTCCATATCAATCATTTTTCAACATGGGCCCCAGGATTCTTACCGGATTTGAGGAAACTTACTCCGCGTCCCGATGGAGTGATAGCCCGCCGTGGCCGCTTGCGGGGGGTGACTGATAAAAAGGGAAAAGCGTAGGACTAGGTGTAGAGACGGGTGAGGAAGGGGAAAGGACGAAGGGAAGGGAAGGGAAAGGCGCATTGCAGGCGAGGAGCCAAACCGGCATGCGGGGGAGGCGGGGTATATTTCTACTGCCCTTATGTAGAGTGGATGTGGAGGACGATCGCAATATATGTGTAGCTACTCGATAAGTTACACGGCTACCGGTGCTAAGAATGGTTATAAATATCAATTAAGACCAAGCTTCCCGAAAGAATGGTGATGAACCTTCGTTGTTTTTCTTCAGATAATACTGTATGAACTCTCTCTCTCTCCCTCCGTTGTTCCGGATACCCCTGCAGTCACGGGTGGGATCCGTGAAGTTTGGCCATCCGGCGCAGGGGGTTCGGGTGTATATTGCCCCAAAAAACGCTGTAATTATCGACCACACAATTACTCAGTAACCAGCTGCGCTATAGATCACTCTAAGAACTACTAGCAATTAAGAGCCGTGCATTCCTTGAGCTTTGAATAGATAAGAACGTAAGATATCGTGAGTATGAGGATCGTAAATTAGATGCTGGTACTGCTTGTACAAGTACATTCTACTGCGCTAACTAATTAAGGTCACGTCATAACCACACCCATCGCCCTTCACACCCACGCGGGAGCCCCAAATTCGAACAGCCCTCTCATGTCCTAGAAGCAATGAGCGATCGGTCGTGACCGCCCCGGTACGACGCACGATAGCTATCCCACCAAACTTACCCCCAGGAACGGGTCCGAATAATGGCAAAGGAGGTTGAAGAAAATTTGGAAGGGATGCGTAGGAACCGGCGACGTATCAGAACGGCCACATCCCCTCCCTTTGTCCTTTGGTTTGTATCTGATAGAAGGGAAAAAAACGAGAGTCTGCGGAAGCGATCTTCAAGTTGCGGTTTTGTATGGAACCCATGGACCCGGCGTCCCACCCCGCTCACAGCAGTCGGTTGCGTATGCCTTTTGGGAAAAAATTAGACGCGAGCAATAATCTACCTGGTTTGTTGTTACTCTCCTGCCCCTTCTACAGCGTGGTAATATTATTAGCATTGAAATTGTGGGTGCGCCCATGGATACTCAAATACGTGTACACTAGTAATCACACTCCCGGTCTCCGCCTTCCCCCTAACCCCCCTACTACATCCCTGTATAGGGCCTTCCACAGCACACCACCCCTTCCTTTGCCAGTGGCCGTATCACTCGCATCCCTATTCTCATCCATATCTATATATCCCCAACATATGCCTCAATGCTCCAAAGCGCGGGGGTCCGGACGCACAGGCAGGAGGAACAAAACCGAAACCATCTGGTAGAAGCAGAGCAGCGATAAATTAGCAGTGCAAATACGTTGGAGACTGACCTCCTGGAGGTGTGCCGAGCTTTAGGGACCGCGTCGGTGGGGGCTACTATGTATAGGTTCGCGGGCTTTTTCTGGTGGAGTTGTTGGGTATTTTTCGTCGGGGAGGCGTGCAGGTATCATAGGAAGACATCGTCCATCAGGATGAGATTGTTCGGCAGCTGGATTAGGAGTCCTGCGTGGGTTAGGGGTAGGTTCGTGATCAAAATTTGTAATCAAAGCCAATTGGTGCAAAAACTGAAATTGAACCCGCCCAGCTCTTCCGCCCCATCTTGCAAACCCACGGATAAGCTCAATACCGTATTGCAGCCGAGAGGAGGGATTTCTACCAAAAATCATTTAGTGTATAGTACACACTTTTCTGTCATTTTCGTACCGGCGGTCACACCGGGTAGTCCGGATTTTATGGGATTCTGTGTACGACACCATATCTCGACAGCACAGTTTTCCCAATTGCAATTGCTCAAGCGGGCTATTAAATAGTTCAAGAATAAATAAGTATGAAATTTCTCTAGAGCCAAGGGGTTACAAATAACCACAGCTCGAGGTTTCATCAACCGATCGGCCTGTCCGAGGCCGGTCTCTGGCTTCTCAAATCTACTTACGATAGCCGATCGGCCCTGTCCTTTGCTCCACTCGAGTACGGACTCGGATAAACGCGACCCAAGTCATTCTGACAGTACCCAAAGCCCATCCGGGATTTGGGGATCGCAATTGCCATTGAGCCCCGGCCTGCGGCCTGCCCCAGCGCGAAAAAGGTGGAATCTAGGAGTAGATGGCCGGACGAACTAGCGTGGTGGGATGTCTATTCCCCGCATGGTTACAGCGGCGGAAAGGCGGTGACTGTAGAAGAGCGGGAGAAGCGAGAGAAGCAGACGAAGGGAGATGGAGAGCGGCAACGAAGGAACGGGTTGAGGAAGCTTAGGGGTTATCACTCGCGCGTAGGAACTGAGAATCGGGAACTCTTTTCGAAATACCCTCCGCGATCCATGATAATTGCATTGTTCACTCGCGTCCACAAAGCCCTGGTAACATCCGATGTATTGCCAAGTCTCCACAGCCCTCCACCAGAACAGACTATTTTACTGTAGAAGTCTTTTAAGAGTCCGGGTCACGTGAAGTATGGATAAGCGAGGCGCTGCATCCTTTTGGTTACGAAACTTCACGTGACGGATAGATCCATTGGTAGCACTCGCAATGGAGGAATAAAAGGGGAAATTCTTTATACCGGATTAAAAAAGTTCTCTGGAGGGAAAGTCGTCCATATCTTGCTATGCTGGGCCTGAGTAGAAGAAGTACCTAAGGTGTTGCGAGTGCTGCAGTGTTGAAGCCATTTCCCCCTCGTGGCCTCTAATACAGGGGTTCCCAGTGGCAACCAATTCCAGGTTACCACAAATGGTTAATCGGAGCTCATTCCAGATGGAATACTACCGGCACAAGTGCTTTACGGTACCAATGTTCGAATACCGCATTATCTGGCGATACTGGAAATTGCACTAGTACTTAGCGTGGCCATGTGGATATATTGTGAGGGTGTGGTGAGCTTATTGGATATAAAAATTTCTGACTGTGAGTTTGCTCGTATATGGCATTCATAGTGTTGCACTACCAGATGTCTACAAATTTATTCTCTATCAAAAAATTCGACTTCTTGACCACTCTCATTGGCCTGAATTATTCCATCTGACGGACTATTCAACCCATTTCTCCAATCACCAATTTGGAGATATGAAGAGTTAATATTCTTAACAGATAACTCATGGTCACAAGAACCATCTATCAGTAATGTAAGACCCAATTTCTGGAAAGTTTCAACCACAAGCTTTTGATGCCCTTTTCCAAACTCATCCCATGCTTCACCGACTGCTCTTGTAACCAGAATTCGGCGTTTGGCAATTGCTGAGGCGTTTGAGATCGGTATTTCACGAAGGTTAAGCTGATTTGTCTTCTCGTAGTCGTCTAAAAGGTGATCGAGGATATCACGTACTAGGCTTTTAAATAGTTTGTTTACCGAAACGTCGAGAGGTTGCACTAAGCCAGTTCAACCTGGTGGGATCAAGGAAGGGATGATATCGTGAGATCGAAGAGTTGTAAGAACTTCTGTGGTGCAGTGAAATTTGGCGACATCGAGGGCAAGGAGTCTTGGTCCTGGGGGTAGGGCGGGAACAAGCATTTGATTTATCCAATTAATCAATAGCTGTGAGTTTGCATAGGCATTCTCATTCCAGCATACCTCTACACGTCCATCATATCTTTTCATCTCTTCATCCCTTTTCTGCTGGTAGAAGTGACTTCCCCTTCCTTCATATTTCTCTTTCTCTTTAAAGACTATAAGAGGACGTACTTTGTTCTGCCCATTTCCGAAAACAGCAAGAACAAGTGTTGCTTGACGCTTATCCCACCCGCTATGCGATGCCTTAACCTGAACTGACTTGCTGCCTTTATCTGCGTAGGTTTGACCATCGAGATATTCGAAGGGGAGAGGGGTCTCGTCCATATTGCAAATGCTATCAAGTAGGTAGCGGCCTACCACTCGATCTTTGTCAATATCAGAAGGGCAGAGTTGTGAGTTACGGTGGTTAAAACGCATCCACGAGAGAATAACTTGGAGGTAATCGCCTGGAACCTTTTGTGACTTATTCGTGGTGAACCGAAGAGTGATATCATGCCGGCTTAAAAAACCGTTAAACCAGCCATCAGAAAAACGGAATTTTGCTAATGATGTATCAGGATAGCATTGTTGAAAAGAGTCTCGGGCCTGACTAAAAAACCAGCTTCTCCGTACAGCCTTTCGTTCCTCGCGACGTTTTTGGTACTTTCGATATAAATGTTCTTCCAGTTCTGGCAACTGGACTAATACTCGTCCGGAGGGAGGGACTTTTCTTTGCCACTTCTTGCTGGCTACAATTCGATCCTCGTTTGCGCGCCAGTTATGGAGAGTTGTAATAGGAACCTGGTACCTTGCTGCCACTTCCTTCATTAGAGGTGCTCGAAGAGAACCAGGCTCCCTCTTAGTCGGTCCTTGTGGAATTCGGTGGTTGTACCACCACTTCAGAACCATTATCTTGAACTCTTGTGAGTAGGATCTCTGAATCCGGCGCCGTTCTTGTCCAAACTGCTTTGTCGATGGTGGGCTTTCTTGGATGGCTTTCGGTGGTCTTCCAGGCTTGCCAGTATGGTTGAGGTCCTTGGCCAATTGGAATCCTCCATGGTGTGCGATGTGCTCAGGAGGCGTTAATGGATTTAGCAAAAGTTCAATATTCATAGTAAAGAGGAAATCAGCTTCGCATTCAAGTTCTGAGATAGAAATCAGAACTATCAACACTATTAATATAGTACAAGTATGTATACCTGGGCCATACTCTACTCATATCCCGTGTTTACCGATATCGATATAAACATACTGCGGTCATTGGTATGTTGCTAGCTACGACACTATGATCGAATTGGGATGGTGTGCTGGCGTGGCAACTCGCCTTTCTGTCTAGTTCGGTAATAGCTCCATTTCCAGTATCGCCAGATAATGCGGTAGTGGGAGAGAAATAAATAGCAAGATAACTGGTGGCACGAAAAAGGAAGCCACTATGTGTCCGAGTACCTTAGCTGGCTGATCTAAGCAAAAACTTATCGGGGTATACTGGTACGGTATCATACCGGCACTGTACAGCAGTGTACAGGTGCGATCGTACTCGGGTGCATGATAGACACAGTACTTAGTAAAGTGGGAGAATACCTCAAAAACCCTCACTAGTGCTCTGACTTTTTCCACTCATACCAGTACCTGGAAACGTGGCACAACAAAAGAGAAACATCTCGGCTTATTCCCAGCTCTTGCACATCATTACTTATCCTCACACAACTCCGGAGGACGGTCGTCAAACGTGGATACCACTCTATTATCTAACCTCGGATGAATCTCGCAGTAGCCTGCCCCGCTACCTTCCGGATGTCCCAACAAGCGCTCGTACCACGGTTCGAGGCCGGAAAATTCGGTGCGCGCTAATGGGGATGGTTGTGGGGATCTATGTTTGCAGTAAGTTACTAATAAGTTGTTGTGGTGTTTGATGGGAAAAGGATTATAGAAACTGCGAAAATTTAATGAGTGTGGCGCAAGGGGCTGGGAAGGGGAATTGTCTAACCCCCGGCCAGCCCCACAAGGTGGTCAACTACCGGTAGACTAAGTTACCGTATTTTGAGGTTCAAAGCCACAATGAATGCGACCCAGTACCGTATGCGGACGCAAGCCGCTTTGGGGCATCGGGGATTACACACTTCCTCCCTACCGTATTGCTTCCTGCACCCCATCATTGCTACCGCATTCGAGCGAAGTAAATAGGGGGCAAGAGGCGCTACATATACTAGTATTAGCGCATTGGTATCAACCAGGAATTTGGCATTGAGGGGAGATTAATTTTTATATACTACTCCTAATGCTTCTCCTCCCTTCCTCCTCTCGCCTTAGGGATCTAGATATCATCTCTGCTCTACTAGTGAATTAAAGTGGGAGACCAACCTGAAAATCTTACCGTTGTCGCACCAAAAAATGTCTTCGAGGGTTGTGTTGTGAAGGTAATAAATCGATTCTAGCAGTATGATAAAAGCAGTTTGAGACTTATTTGACAAGGACTATCTGAAATCTATGTGGGCAATTCCTGGAGATAATTGAAGCTATCTATGCAATGCCTTGGATTTCAAACACCCCCCGGAGGTTGAGCCCACCTAGAATACCGGGTTTTTTGGCAAGAGATTGTCGTTGTCACAATTCTCCGCACCATGTGACCGTGGTGAGACTTTATCGGCGTGGCGGCAAAACGTGGGTCGCACAAAGCTCGGGCAGGCTGAACAGACTGGTGCGCCGCCACTGGCCACAAGGCCAGGACAGTTACCGTAGCGCATGATGGCCCCACTTTCTGTCAACTCCGCTTCCGCTTGATTTCCATCGAATGGTAATTTAACTCAACTATTCACCCGCCTACGAAATCGCAACGGACGAGAAAATGTCGCACTCTCACATCACTGATACCGCCGGCGCCGTTAGAAACACCCACTACTCGAATAACACCGATTCTTTCAACTGCACCGATTCTTTCAATTGCACCGGTTCTTTCAACTCC